GGTGGAGACCTTCACTGCTGTGAGCGTTATTATAATAATTTTCACTCCTACACCTGCAGTTTCCACAGGGATTTTCCCTGACCACAGCCCTGCATTTGAGCCCAATCTGTATCCCCCCAAAAAAAAAGATTTCAGCTGCTTTGAGGTGGTTCATATCCATGTTGGATGAGAGGGAGAGCTGAACAGCAGCTGAGGGGTGAAGGATCCATCAGCAGAGCTAAGGTAGAGCTGATTTTCCATCCTGCAGCAAAGCTCAGCTCAGTGGGAAAACAACCCCAACCCCAGCAGTGGGAAAACAGCCTAAGCTGGGCTGATTTTCTCTACATTTGAGCCTAATCTGTACCCCCCAAAAAAAGATTTCAGCGACTTTGAGTTGATTCATATCCACGTTGGATGAGAGAGAGAGAGCTGGAACAGCAGCTGAGGGGTGAAGGATCCCTGAGCAGAGCTGATTTTCCATCCTGTCAGCTCAGACAGGCACTGTCCAACCCCAGCATGGGAAAACAGCCTGAGCTGGGCTGATTTTCCCCTCTGACATTTGGGGTGGGGGCCTTTTATTCCCTATTTTCCCTTTTAGGAGCTCTTAATTCCCCTTGTCCTCCCCACCCTTTGCCAGCAGCCCAACAAGAAGCCCAGACTTTTTCCCCCTGGTGCCCCTGGCAGTGTTTTCAGCAAGTTTTCCCCAAAAAGCTGCCTCTTACCTCTCCTAGCACATCAGGGCACCAGCAAATGGTGCCTCCACTCGCTGCCTCCACAGCAAATCCCAGAATTTGCTTTCCCCCCATCCTCCAAGCACGGCCTTGCTAGCAGGAATCTTTCATTTTTAAATTTATTTTGACCCTTTTCTAAGCCAACAGCTATTTTAGGAGGGCAGGGGGATATCAGCACTGACTGATATTCCAGGGGCAGATTACTTCCAGCCTGGATCGTGGCTCTCCCCTTCCCTCCCATCCATTTTAAACACAACCAGCTCCAGGAAAATCAATTGACTCTCCTCATTCTGTTTTGTAACACAGAGAAAACTGGTGAAATTAGGTTTCCCTCTGCTCCTTTGTCAGTTTAATATTCTGGTGCTGTTTGCCTGGGCAAGTGAACACTGATGAAGTTTGATTAGGTCTCAGGGACTCTTTGGGGAAGATTTTGTCTTCCAGCCTCTCTTCTTTTGGCAGGGATGTTCCCATCATGCAGGGCTGGACACATTGCAGCTGAACAAGCAAACACTTCTTCTTTTCTTAATTTTTCTAGCAGAAAACTTCCTCCCATGCCTTACCTTGAGGAAAAACAAGCATTCAAAATGCCACAAGGGCTTCTGTGGCTGCTTGACCTTGGCAGGGCCTCGTCTCATTCCCACCTCAAGGACCTGGCACAGCCCATGGAAGATGCCCTGGAAATGGATTTGCCCAGGAAATTTTCCATCCACAGGAGCATCCCTCTCCTCCTGCCTCCCCCAGGGTCATTTGGTGCAGGCCATGAGGGTGAAATGTGTTTTAACCCCAAGGCCAGTGCCTATGAGGAGAGACAGAGTGAGCTTGAGCTTTACTCCTCACCTGGCAGTGGGGATGAGTCCCAGTCAAGGGGAAATGCAGCCCAGAGGAGGATCAGATCTTGCAGCTCTCCTGGAAGGGAATTCTCCTCTCCTTGCACAGGTGAGGTGGCTCTGCCCAAGCTCACGGACACACAACAAAACCACCAGCAGGACAAAAAAAATCCTGGCAGTTTTCACTCACACCTTTGGGGTGACAACAGGGAACAGTTTTGCTTCAGGGGACACAAAAGTGCAAAGCTCAGGACACTGAAGGTTTTAGTGTAAAAACTTACATAAGTTTATTGAACTGATCCAAACCAATGACCTATTTTGGCCTGAATTCCACCACTAAGTCTGCAAGCAAACCAAAGGCAAATTGTGGGAGCGGGAGGTGTATCCCCTGGGAGAGAAACCAGAATCAAAAACCAGATGGACTTACAGTTCTTCTTCTTTGAAATTACAGATGGATGCAACATTAACAGGGAGCAAGAACAGATCTTCATGTTTAAATTATATTTGAAGTTTCCAGGAACTGCAGAACAGCAATCACAGAGGGAAAGGCCTGAGGTGGCTGGAGCCCCTCTAAGGTTGCTCTGGGGGAGGCGTCTCTGCTGCCACAAAAGTGCCACATCCAAAGCAGGGGGGCACAGCTGCCAGAATACAGATTTTAGCCTCTGGGCTGCTTTCAGCAGTCATTTGCATTGTCAAATCTTGCACAGAATGTCACTGACAAGAGAGGAGGCAGAGCTGTGGCACCTCCACTGGACTGCAGACCCAGAGCAGGAGACCACGTCCCCCAAGCCACCACGGGTCACACCTGCCACCAGCGTGCCTGCAGCTCCCAAAAAACCAGATTACAAACCCCAGCCAGCACCCCGTGCATGTTCATAACAGCGATCTGCCCGCAACATCTGGCCAAAAATATGGATATTGAACAGGAACATCTCCAAAACCACACAGCACAGCCTCAAACTGGGCACGCGGAGCCGTGGGACACTTTGGTATTCAGCTGTCACCCAAGTCCTCGTGGAGCAGGTGCTCTGCCTGCTGGGCAGACTTTGATGCATGAACAACACACAAAAGCAGCCCTCAGGTAGAAGCACACACAACCCAGGGGAGTTTGCACATCTGTTTTGGTGTCTCAAGTGGATGTGACAGACCCAGGGACCTTGAGCTGAAGAGGGCACAGGCTGGCAATGCCTGGACATGGCAGAGGTTTAAATCAAACCTCCTGCCACAGTTACACCCTCACTCAGCACCCAAACCTTCTCCTCCCGCCCCAAGACATGGTGCCCTGTTGGGTGGCACACACACAAGACCCTTCCCCACAAGGCACCATGACTTGGGCTATTTTGCCACATCCTTGTGTGCTGTTTGGTCCCACACAAACTCTCTGGTTTTGGGGTGATTCCTTCTCCTTGGGAAGCCAACCAAGATTTTTGGTTTCTACCCCACGACTGCTCCACTACCTGCACACAAGGTGAATGCCTTGAGAAAAACCCTCCCTGGAGAAGTGGCAGGGTGGTGATTTCACACCTGAAGGGACCAGGGGAGCAGGTTTGGGTGCCAGCACCAAACCCCCAGCACCTGTTAACCTTCTGTGCTCTCTTTTTCCATCTTCCCACCAGGTCTGTCACAAATAAAAGCAGGATTTACAGCCAGTTCTGAGCTGGTGACAGCACCAATCCCTCCACGGACAGCCCAATTTTTAGTGGGCACATAAACTTAAAAGCACTTGGCCCTTCTTTATCATCCCATTCCACTCTTTAATGGCCTTTGTTTATTCCCTTCTCTGAAACCCAGACTCTTAATTGTGCTGAGGAAGTTGGACAAGAGTTACAGCATCTCCCTGATAGCAGGTACAATGCCATAAATACACCCACAGAGGCAATTATGCTCTGGAGAGCTGGGTCAGAGATACTTTTGCATCCCCACAGGTCGCTTGCCTCGGACTCTGCAGCCACTCAGGGATCTCCTACTCACACTGGAGGTCAAGGGCTGAAATAGGTTTCTAATATTAAACAACCATTTCTTCATAAAACTTTGCTTTATAACAAAATATCTTATTAACCACAACTTTTCCTATTGGTAGGTATGTATATATCATACAGAAGTGTTGGCTTAAGGGTTCTGCTATAAGGCAGCAAATTATTTTCGCTGCCCAAATGGAAAATACCTCTTCAGTAAAGCTCTAGCTTATAAAAGCATAATTTTATGTTATACTGCCACTATCTCCCTGCTGTTTAGGTTACAGGTACCATGGATCTATGGGAAATCTACACTACCTGTGGAAAATCTCACTCCCTTCCCTATTGCTCATCTCAATGGGGCCAAGAAATTGCTATTTTTGGCAGGGGGATGAGGCACAAATTAGTGACTTGTTTTAAATCCTCCCATTTTAACCCTTGCTTTGGATAAGGAACTAATCCCCTCTGAACAATCCCCAAATCCTAAACCTGAAGACTAATGAGATAATTAATACTTAGTCCCCTCCCCAATGATCCCACCCCACAATCCAGGTAAAATGCGAAGAGAAATACACAACTCCAAGAATACCAAAGGAGCTCAGTGATGTGGGAAAAAGCATCCTGGGAAAGAAAGTGCACGTGGGGATAAAGGGAGCATTTCAAAATGAAGGTCAGGAGTTCATGTGTAACTAGAGCTCTCGCTGCACAGCTCCAAAAACTGCTGAGCAGCTGCTTGGAACCAGGAAACTGGGAAACTCTTCAACTTGGAGCGGGGAAGACACAGGAAAGCGAAACAAGAGAGAGGAAAAAAGGAGGAGGATTTCACTGACCAGGCAGGGGGATCTGCTCTGCAGTAGAAAACAGGAACTACGTGAAGCAGCAGCACGCGATGCCTGCAAGGGGAAGCCAAGAGAGAGAGAGGGAGAGAAACCTGCTGGGCATCCAAAGTGGGTCCTGCTGAGCACCCAACATGGACCCTGCTGAACACCCAGCGTGGGCCCTGCTGAACACCCAACGTGGGTCCAGCTTCTTTGTTCAGTGAAACCTGCTGGGCATCCAGAGTGGGACCTGCTGAGCACCCAACATGGGCCCTGCTGAACACCCAACGTGGGTGCAGCTGCTTTGTTCAGTGAAACCTGCTGGGCATCCAGAGTGGGACCTGCTGAGCACCCAACATGGGCCCTGCTGAGCACCCAACGTGGGTCCAGCTGCTTTGTTCAGTGAACCTTGCTGAACATTCAATGTGAGTCCAGCAGCTTTGTTGGAGTAAAACTTGCTGAACACCCAGCATGGGTCCAGCTGAACACCCAACAGGGGTCAGCTGCTTTTTTCAGTGAAACCTGCTGGGCACCCAACGTGGGTCCAGCTGAACAACCAACGTGGGTCCTGCTGAACACCCAATGTGGGTCCTGCTGAACAACCAACATTGAGTGCAGCAACTTTGTTGGAATGAACCCTGCTGAACAACCAACATTGAGTCCAGCTGAACACCCAACGCAGGTCCTGCTGAACACCCAGCATGGGTCCAGCTGCTTTGTTCCTCCACCTCCAGAGGCTGATCCAAGCCAACACCTCCTCCGAGTCCGGACCCTACGCAGGGACCCCCGGGCAGGGGCCCCGGGCAAAGTGCTAGGTTTGAACTGGTGCAACAGCAACAAACACAAACTTCAACTTGACTCTTCCTCTCTCCCAGGAGAGGGATTTTAGCCATTCCACTTACAGCACCCACTGGTACAAGGTGAAGTGCATGGAGGATCTCTTCAGCATCAGGATGGACAACAGGGGAAGCTGCTCTTTAACCCCTTGTTGACCTGTTGTTCAAAAAGCCCTTCCAATGCAGCGCTCATCCACCACCTCCCAAAATTCACTTTCCAATACATCCTTTATCCCCACAGGCTGCAGGCACCGTGTGAGATGGGTACAGCAGCCAAAACCTCTTTTTTCCCTCCAAATTCAGGTGGATATAGAGCGTGCACTTTGAAAAGAAAGTTTCTTTCTGGGAAGTTCTTTTTCTTTCCCCCATGTTGTGCACTCACAGAAAGAAAACCAGTGGAGTGAAGTGGATGCACTAAAGTACCTGAGCTCTGAATCAAGCAGAATACTGATGGAGATCTTTCCTGTGAACTCGAGCACAACAAAAGGTTGAGACAGCACCAAGCTGCAAGAAAATACTACAGCAAGCTCGAGCCACAGTTGGATAGCTAGGCCAAAGGGAGATCTGGTGGAGCAAAACACCAAAAAATTTAGGAAAAGAAAACAACAGGTCAAAATCTGCACCGAGCTGTCTCCTCCCTTATGGACCCTGGCATTGTTTAGCTTGAACAACTGACCATTCATGCCAAATCACGAGTATACCGGAGCATCAAAGGAAACATCAAGGTATTGCCCACACTGAAACACACGTCCTGAAGTCAACTGTCACCTCAAGGTCACCTGCAGTGGATGGTGGGCATGGTTCTCACATCAGGGCACTTCCTCCGGGCTAAGAAATTACCTGCTACAGAAACACAACCAAACCTCAACCAACCAACCGAAATAAAAACCTTGCAACAAACTCCTCAATGCATGTGTGTGGGTGTGTGGGGGCGTGTGGGTGTGGGCAAAAAGGCTATTTCATTCTCGGCTCCACGTAAATTTTATCCCCATCCCGGATGCCGTAGGAATGCAGCGCCCGCGAGCTGTATTTCATCTCCTCGGGACCAAAAGGAGCTTCCTGGTCCAAGTAGAAGAGCAGCATGTTGCTTGTTGACAGCTGCACCACAGTTTTTAAGTGCTTCTTCAGCTCTGCCACAGTCTGGTCGAGGCGGATGGACATCTCCTCCACCTTGTCCTGGAAGTGAACCTCCACCTTGGCGCTGCTCTGAGGCCGCAGATCCACCACTGCCAAGGGCTCCAGCTTCCCGTACTTGGTCACCAGCTCGTGATACCTGGAAAATTCAACAGGTCCAGAGTTAAGGTACAGCCAGTGCACATCTCCCCTGAGAAAACATTGACCCTGATTCCAGCAGAAAGCCCCAGAAAGCCCAAGCACTCCAGTCACTGTCCCACGGTCCCCAGGCTGCACCATGGCTCAGTGTCCCACTAGGGAGAAGTGTCGTGCTGAGGAAGGTGAAATTACCACCAGCCTGAGGTGTTCAAGCTGACTGGTCTCAAAACAACAGTTTGGGCTCCTACAGTTTCAGAAATCCCAGCCGTGGCTGCAGTGGGATTTGGAAGAAAGAGAGGACGCCGTGCTCACAACTCTGCGCCTCCTGCTCAGTGAAAACACTCCACTGAAGAGTGCCAGAACCAAGGCAGTGCTCACAAAAAGGACACAGCCTTCAGTTTAGATTCCCAGTATCTGTGGCCTCATGACTTAACTGATCATCAGACATTCCTGCTGTTTTCCAAGAGGCCAGCTAGGTCCCAAATGTTACACTCCACTGAGCACAGGATCATCAAGATCACCAAAACAAGGTGAGCTGCTGCACAGTTTGGGAGCTGATAACAAACAGAGCACTTCTTGCCAGCTGATCCTTCACACCTGCTCTAAAACAAGATGGGAGTTTGACTAGCAGAGGCACACACTCCTCTGTCACCCTGTCCTTGCAGCCAAGTTCTGTGAGTGCTCTTCCCAAGGTCCCTGCAATGGAAAGTCTGTGTCACCCACACCCCCCTGCTATCGCTCCCATCGGGCCAGGCTGCATCTCCCTGCCTGGCTGGGAAAGAGGAGGAACGGCAGCACAAAACACAATGGGACTGGGATGACAAAGGCTGAGAGCTGCTGAGCACAGGTAACGTTTCAGAGCCCCGGCACAGAAGGAGCTTTGTGCTGCCGATGCCAGGCGGGGCTGAATGCGATGGGCGCGGTGTCACAGCCCCGGGGCAGCCATGGGATCTGGCAGGCTGCTGACCCCAGGGAGTCCTGCGGGAGGCAGGAATGTTCCTGGAGAACAGCAGCCCCTCTGTGTGCTGGGCACTGAGGTAAGGGCCACCAGGCACTAGGATTTCCCCAGTCCCACGCCCAAGGGCAGGAGGGTGCCCTGCTCTCACAGGCAGGGTGGTGGGAGCAGCCCCATTTATCTGGGAAAGCCATTAGTGCTGGGAGAAAACAACACTGCCCACATTTAACCCACCTGCAGGCAGAGCAAATGCCAGCCAGTGTGGCAGCAGTGGGGAGGGCTTCTCCTTCTCTGGAAGGATTTGCCAGCAGCAGCATCCCATGGGAAAGAGGGAGAGGGGAACCCACCTCCTGCTGCTCCAACCCCTCAGCCCCCTTTGGGACATCCTTTAACTCTCAGCATCTCTGCTGCTGCAGACCAGCAACAACTTCTGGGCCAGCCACAACTCCTGTCACTGATTCATGCACTAAGAATGAACTGGGCTGGTGGTGGGGACAGGATGAAGAGGGGGACAAATTTCAGACAAGCTGAGAGATATTGTCTGAGATCCACCATGAGAGAGCCATGATTATCCAAATATGTGCTGTAAATATGCAGTGGTCAAGCAATGCTGCTTGAAATTTTCTTGTGTTGAGGAAGGGCAGAATGAGCTTTGCACCCTCCTCCTTTGTATGTGAGCTGCAAAGAAAGTGGGGAGTGTGAGTGAGTGGCTGCCCTCACATCAACCAGCACCAAGGCAGACTGGTACAGGGATGTTTTGGACCCCAATAATAGGGACTCTGGAGACTTTTCTAATCCTCCCTTGCAACCTGACAGACACTGAGGCTGCTGAAGACCTGAGCCTAGCTGGAAGTGTCTGTGATACTGTGCAGATAAACAGAGCAGCAGACAAGCAGAGGGCTCATTAAACCCCCCAGACGCGAGGACGTCACTCCACAAGACAGCCAATATTGGATTGTGCACCCTGGAACCACCACATCCACAGAGATAAACTGTTCCTTCCATTTCCCTGCCTGCCTGATCCCTTCCAGCTGCAGACAGCAATGCAACAAGCAGGGGGGTTCTGGTGACAGAGCTTATCACAGGCTGCACCTTGCCAGTCTGGAGGGGGGCTGCTCCCACTGGCGACTTCTCCCTGCTCAAGTTGCTCTCCCTCTGCTCGAGGCAGCACTGCAATGCAGATGTCAGACCCCAGCCACAACATGTGTGTCCTGATTAGTTTCTAATTGCAAACCACTTTTGGAGCCACCCCACAGCAGATTTGGGAGCAAGGAAGGGGAAGCTTTAACAACAAACAACAAAATCCCTCTGCAAGGAATGCCAGCTCTCCCTTTGGACAAGGGCTGCTGGCTGTGGGTCCAGGAACTGAAACACTGGGGACACTCTCAGCCATCTGCAGCCTCACTAGAAAAGAGTCTGCAGTGGCTCCCAACCCTCTCTGGCACTGCAGAAGTCTCCTGGAAACGCTGCACAGATGAAGGGATTCGGACAAAGAGGCCATTGACCATGAAAAGGCAGCACCAGTGTTTAAAGGCTAAGAAATCTGAGGGGGAGGTGATTTTTCTAGCAGAAAGCTGGCATGTTGGTCAAAATGAGCCTGGTTTTCTAGGATGGGTGAGATGCCAGTCATCTTTTACATGAGATCCCACCTGCAAACCAACCCCAGTGGTGTGTGGTGATGTGTGACACACAGCCTGTTCCCAAACCCATGTCCCAGGCAGCATGAGTGCCTAAAGCTGTACCCCACTGCGTCCTTCCCAGCAATATATGGATCACTGACACTTTGTCACCACCAAACACAAGAAATATGAAATGTTATGGAAATTAATCCCTTTTGGGAGCAGCACCATGAGCTCACAGTCCCATCTCCCCTTCCCTTTCCTCTCTCCTGCATTCTCTGTCTCTGCTGTTATCCCTTCCAATATTTCCTTCAATTTTTATGCTTCAAGGCCCTCTAAAATTACAAGTCAGGACATGTCCTCAGAAAAAGGACCAGCTGTGTTGTTTCCCTGACTGCATCAGTGCCCTCTGCCTCTGAACTGACCCCTGCATGCTTTTAACAAATATTATAATCACTGACCCAATTAATATTCACACAAAATGCCATGCCCTCATTCCCCATTCCAGCCTTCCCACCCCCTTACTGGATTGGCAAGTCACGTATCCAGTGCTTTAGAAAAACATGGATTTAAGCTGAGAGTTAAGCAGAGGAAAACACTGAGCAGATGCCATTTGCACCTCTGTCATCCATGCCAGGCCAGATCTGTGACCTCCAGTGTGTCCCCACCTCTGCCTGAGCCCTCAGAGTCACGCACACACTCCTGTCCTACCCTTTTTCTGTACAAAAAGGACAATAAAGCTTTGCTGTCCAAAAGCACGTGAGGGTTTAGGGCAGAGAGCAGGTAAAAGCAGTGGCCTGATGCTCCATGATCCCTCCTCAGCCCATTGGGAGCAGTAAGTGGATGCTGGCACAAAAAAGATACAGACTGAACAGCATCTGTCCAAGTTCATTAGTTTACCAAGATGAGCAGATCATTGGATGTACTTTTCTGGCAAAGAAAACCCATCAGACTTGTGATTTGCAGGCCTGAAAGTGAGGGGCCAGCTTCCCATTGCCAGGCACATTCCACACACCAGATGGTGCCGAGGATTAGATGCCCTGGCCTGGCAGTGCAGAGCACGATGTGCCCTGGCTTTGGGCACTCCCAAACACAGGTGGATTATGAAGGGAGCTGTGGGAGAGGCCAGGAAGTGAAGGTCATGTCCTGAACTGTCCTGCTGTTTAATGGCACTTGCCACACTTTTAAGACCAAATCTGACTAAGGAGTGACCCCACAATTCATCAGACAACACAAATACAACAATTTCAGCCCAAACAGACTGAAGGAGACAAGGCTGGAGGAAGGTGAGGGATGGAACAGCTGGCACATATTTCCCATCACCTGGCCAGTCCCTGCTGTCCAATTCCAGAGAATTCCTACCTGAAGGGAACCTCCTCCTCAGGGAACTCCATGTAGTAGCGGATGAAGAATCGCTCCGAGTCCTCGCGCTCGCCGTCGGCCACGATGCTGCCGTTGAGCTTGGTGATGGATGGCAACCTGCAGCACACCAAGAGCCACAGTCAGCCAGGAGGGAGCCTGTCACACACATCTTTTCATGAAAAATCCCTTTCCTTAGGATTTTTCCTCCTGAGAAGCTGGGAGGCCTCAGGAACAAAATGTAAACAATGGTTATCTGCTGCTGCGGAATGCAACAGGTGCATCTGGGATTGGTCCATGTTGGTTTCTTTGTAATTAATGGCCAATCACAGTCAGCTGGCTCAGACTCTCTGTTTGAGAGCTAGCCTTCTGATGAAATCCTTTCTTCTATTCTTTTAGTATAGTTTTAATGCAATATATATCATAAAATAATAAATCAAGTCTTCTGAAACATGGAGTCAGATCCTTGTCTCTTCCCTCATCCTAAGACCCCTGTGAACACGGTCACAGGAGCCCACAGGCTCAACAACAAGGCTGGCACATCAAAGTGCCTCAGCTTTAACACCATGGGAATTCCTGTCAGGAAGCTCAGGGTTCAATCCCTTTGAGAGAGTGGGAATGTTCCATGTAATTTCTCAAGAACATTCAAAATTGAGCATTTTCATTTCACCACATGTGCACAGAGGAGCCTCACAAAATCCCCTGAGAAGCAGAGCACTCACATTTAAGATTTTCACTTCTCTGGCTTTTCCACAAAAGAAGCTCCAATCTTCCTGTATTCACACAGAACTCCATCTCCTACCAGCCTCTTCATCTGATGAGCTGCTCCCACCCAACAAATCAAGCTCCAATCTTTCTGCCTTCACACAGAACTTCATCTCCTGCCAGCCTCTTCCTCTGATCACCTGCTCCCACCCCTCTTTGCCTTGTCATGTTTCTGCTGAGCAGAACAAACCAACGCACCTGGCTATTAGCAGCTTCCTGCGTTCCTCGGTGGTGTAAGACTGCAGCAGAGGAATTCCCAGCAATTTCACTTCCTCGAGCTTCGGGAAAGAATTTAACTTGTCAATGTCTTCCCAGCAATGCAGACCTGCTCAGGAGGAAAGATTTGTGTTAACAAACACAGAAAACACATCATGGATCCAAGATAATCAGACACAGCCAAAGAACATATGTGACAGGAGAGTGTCACTGCTGCTCCTTTGAGAAGTTGGCTTTTTGCTCACCATGTGCTGCTAAAAAAAATCAACATTGGCTTACAAGACAGAGGAGCTGAAATTCTCTCGTGCTGTTTCCAAGTGTATAAGGATGCTTTCCATGGCTTTTTTATGGACCACTCAGCCTTTGGCCTCACTGCTGGGGCTGACCAGCATCACTGATGTCTCTATAAAGGGATGCTGCCTTCAGAGTGCTCAAGCCACCAGCACTTCCTTCATTCCAGGCATCACTAAACAGCCATCAAATGGCTTTACCTCACGTACACAACCACCCTGGGTCCCATTTCTGCTCACAACCCAATGGTGAAACAGTCCCAGAAGCCATCCAGCCATTTAATGAAAAAGGTTTTAACTCGTTTTCAGCTCCCTCAAGACCTGACATTTGGGATAACAAAGCAAGCAGGGAGGGCAAAATAAAACAAAGCTGAGGATTGAGCACAGCAGAGCCACAATTGTGTGGTGAGATCAACACAACTCATCTCAGAGTCCACGCCTGCCAGAACTTCAGAGTGCAGCAGCTTTCTCTAAAACCCCCAAAAAGTTTTAACAACCTCCTTGGGATTCCTGTTTGACTTTCAGCTCCCAAAACATCAAAATGCAACACAGAGCCCACACTTCTTAAGCACCTGGCGTCAAAACTGCAAAACTACTTACCAGAAGAGCACTTGTTCCTCGGTGAGACAGTGCCTTCAAATGCAGCTTAACAGGCTTTTCCTCCTCTAGTTAAGCTTTTATTACAGGGATTCCTTGATGCTTACATTGTAGGGCATGTTAATAAAGTCCCTTCTACCTGCCTGACACTTCAGCAGCACTTGCACAGCATATAAAGCTGTAGAGAACAAAAGCTGCTGGTGCATGAAACACTCCTGCAGATGAATTTCTGGTGTATGTGTCATCCACAAACACATCACAGCCCCCACGAGCTGCCCTGCAGCTCCTTCTCTCCCAGCACAGGGTGCTCTTCCCAATATTCCAACTGCTCATTCTCTTTCTGGAGCGTTGGCTGAAAATTCTCTGGGGCTGGAGTGTAAAAGCAGCTGCCAGCATCACTTGTGAGCACAGATTCTGCTGGGGGATGCCTGATCCACACTGCATACCTGCACATGCCCTCATTTTACCTGAGATAAAACAGGGAATAAAGGGAAAGTGGGATTCTTTCATCCCCTCCACTGCCAGGCATTTATTTATCCTTCCCCAGCCAGGAGTACCTGAGGCAGGGATGGGAAACAGAGGGAAACTACCAACATAAAAAACCTTTCCAGCTCATTTGGATTAACTGCTCCACACTGCTCTGACTCATCCTTTGATAATGACTGAGTACCCAAAGCAGCAGGAAAATCCCACAGATGGGCAGGTTCACTGCTTGTCATACAGAGGAGAGACTCTGATGAACCCACAAAACCCATCCCAGCTCCCAGGCTCTCACCTGACTTGTGCAAGTTGATGGATCTTAGGTTGGGGAAGAGCCTTGCCAGGGAATCTTCTGACTCTTCAATGGTGGTGAGGTTGTTGTTAGCCAGGATAAGTGTGTCCAGGGATGGAAACATAATTCCCAACTTTCGAATTTCAGTCCAGTCTTGAAGATTGTTGTCAGTTATGTGGAGGAGCTTGAGAGACTGACAGCAAACTGGAGAACAAGACACTGTTTCGTAGTCATTAAGGCACAGGAAGAGTTCCTCCAAGCTGCACAGGGCACAAAGGATCACATCATCAATTTTATGGGATTTTAACACAACTTTCTGTAACAGCTCTGAGAACCTCACTGCAGAGAAGGCCTTTGAGCACTCCACATAGAGTGGTTCAACTACCTCTCTGCTCCCATCCATATTTTCAGAGATTAAAAAAACCTTTTAAGTGCTCCCTGAGTCTCTCCCAGTATTGTGTAACAGATTGGTTGGGGTTGTCTTCTGCTTCTGTGCCCAACAAGCCACCAACCCAGCTCCAGCAGTGACTGGGACCTGCTCTCAGTGCTCTCAGCTTAATTTAAATGGGGTTTTGATACAACACTGATGATGATTTTTTTCCCCTATATCAAAGATTCCCATTAAAGAAAGAACAGATCCCAATAAGTTTTCTGACAACTGAACTCTCACAATCCCAGAGAAGTGTAGGTTGGCCATGTAGGACATTCTGTTTTTATCATCTCTGCTCACAAAGCCACACAGAGAGGGATCTGTCATCCAAACAATGCCGCTGAGGACATCCATGGCAGCGGAATGCCAAGGTGGCCCATGACCAAACCACAGAAATCAACACTTGAGCACAGAAAAGCAGGATGAAATATTCCTTGACAAGAGGCCAGACCCTCAGAGTACCTCCCATTTAACAGGTATGTCCTGCACAGTGACTCAGAGGGAAGAGTGACCCTCCTACATTTTTGGGGTGATTATCCATCTCTGGTATTTAGGTTTGGGGGAGGAGAAGGCCTGGGCTTTACAGCACCACCCAAATTTGGTTTTTAGGACAATGTAAAGCCCTCACCTGGATTCCCCAAGCCCCAAAAGGAAAACATCCCTTTTTATCTACTGATATTTCCATCCTCACAGCCCCCTCAGCCCTCGACTCCATAACCTGAGTGCAGTGAACCCCCAGACTGGCAGGCTTACTCAGGCAATTCCTGCAGGATGGTGTGCACTGTTTCCCAGGAGGCTTTGCTGTTGTTGAGCACAAGTTTGCGGACGCCAGCGAAAGACCCAGCGCAACTTCTCTCTAGAACGGACAAACTGAGAGGGTTGGAACTCAGGTTTAGAAACTCCAAGTGGGGAACGTTGGACACAATTTTACTGACCTAAGTGGGGAGGGAAGAAAAAAAAAAACAGAAAGAAAGAAATGTGTATCAGGCAGTAATCAGAGCTCTGGCAAGAATATCCCACCTCCTCAAAGGGGCTCTGTGGGATCATCACAAAGCAATGATATGGGGGAAAACTCAGGGATATCTACCTGTAATTCATACTCCAGCCATTCCTGATCTTGATGGATTGGTTAATTGCTCATTCTGCTCAGGAGTTCATTTAATTACACTCTAGGAGCAGCTTGATAAGAGAAAGGGAGTCCCTTGGGAGAGGTCATAAATCCACCTCAACCCCAAGGCTGAGCAGCAGCACGTTCCTGGAGCCAGCCTTGCTCACAGGGGGCCTTGGACACTTCTCCTGCTCCATGGCCAACGCTGAGAACTTCTCCAGCTCCCCACAGAGCTCAACAATCCCCAATTCCCTCCTTGACTGGGGAACTGAGTGGGAAGGAGCTTCCAACACCAGCAGGAATCAATGCAGAAAATAATTGTGAGTCAGAACAGCTGGCTGGAGATCTCCACAAAGCTCTGGGATGGGCGCAGACCATGGCACACAGAGGTTAATAAATTTATTTTGGCTGTTGGCAAAGGGGGATTGTCTCATGAACTCAGGTGTGTAATGAGTCTGCCTCACTCCACGCCTCCTTCAGGTGATGCCATGGTTTGGGTGCTGCACCTCAGGAATTAAGAAGGCAAATTGGATGACATCAGTCCACCAAAACCACAGCATTTACCAAAAAACGGCTTATGGTGGATGATTGGAAGAAGGGTATTTTTTGCAGTATTATACTAAAATAAGGAAAGGAGGCAATAAAGTTCTTCTTAGTGGGTATAAAAAGCTGCTGTATAAGAACAGTGATGATGCTGCTCCTACCTGCTGAGACCAGGGGCAGGCAGAAATTGGCTGAAACTGCAGCACAGGAGACTTAAATTACACAGTTTAGCCTGTGAGGTTATTAGCTAAGCATGGGAACAGGCTACCCAGGGACCTGGAATCCCCAGCATGGGCAGGTTTTAGGGGTGGGGAGATATTTATCTGGTGTGGATGGGCTGTGAAAACTGAATCCTGTCTCAGAGGAAGGGGCCAGCACACACAGAAGCCCTTCAGTTCCAGGGCAGCCTGAAGAGACTGAACACAGAGCAGGGTGTGAGATGTGCAGCCTGTGAGGGAGCAGGGTATGACCAGAGATGAGCTGGGACACTGCAAACTCTGCACTCCCTCCCTGCTTAAAGACAAGACAATCTGATGGCACAAACCCCCATGATATCCTGGTTTTTTCCACTTATTTCCAACAATAAACACCAACATAAAAGGACAGCAAAATCCAGTGAGGAACTTAATGACACTTGAACGGATTGAGATTGTTTCACTCCTGTTACATTGCATTTATTGAGCATTATTTCACCCAAGCACTTCAAAGGGTTTTACAACAGCATTTAGCATTAATTAATGAGGCTGCAGAAATACCCTTTGCGGTAAATATTATCAAATCTGTTCTGCAGATAAGACAACAAATGTGGAGAGGGAATAAATACCTTGCCCACCATCACAGTGGCAAAGCTGGGAATCAACTGCCACTCTGTTAAAAACTAAACTGCTCATTAACTTCTTGGTGCCAGAAATGCCAGTTCCAGTGCTTTGCATGATGAAATAAAATAAAATTACAGATTTTTCACCCAGGGGCCAAGACTGTAAGTCACAAGGTACAGGAGTGAAATGCCACACTGGATTAATTTCATCACATATATTGCTCAGCTGCTGTCAAAGTAAATAAACATCACCTTCAGAGATGAGAAAGGAGCCACCAAAATGGAACTCTCATCAAAGCAACGCATGTGCAGGCAGTAATAGCTGTGAAAGGCACCCAGTGAGGTGCCCATCACTGTTTTACCTCGTGCCAGTCTTCCAGTTTGTTGTCAGAGAGGTCGAGCTCGAAGACGTGGGCGCAGAAGGCGGCGATCTCGTTCTCGTCGCCGGCACAGGTGATGCCACAGCTGTTGAGCACCAGCACACTGGGCAGGTTCAGGCGGTCTGGCACAGGGAAAAACAGAAGCTGCCTCTGCTCAGCACTGCCTTGGAGTTACAGACCCCAGCCCCAAGCATGGATGTTACAGCCAGCAAGAGAAATCCACCAGTAAAGTCAGAATTTGCACCGGTTTCGGGTTAAACACGGATTTTGTAGCTGACACCATCCTGAAGCCTTGGTTGTAAACATCAAGCACCACTCCTATCAGTGCTCTTCAGTTCTTCCATGTATTTCTGTGCATTTCAGGCCTGCCTTTGTCATTTATGGCTGGTCTCCTATCAGTCCTTGCCACAACTTCTGCTCTTCCCCAGCAGCTGCTGCTGCAGATAGGACACAGCACATGGGGAGTGCCAGCTGCACACTCAGACTCCCTTATCCTCCTGCCCTGAGCCCACTTGGGCCTAGTAACAGCCAGGAGGTATTTAAACATTTCTTAGAAGGTATTTAAACATTTCTTAGAGGGTATTTAAACATTTCTTAGAAGGTATTGAAACATTTCTTAGGGGGTATTTAAATATTTCCTTTCTAAGCCTTCCCTTCTCAAGGTTCAATGTAGAGCATTCAGCATTCATTCAAAAATTCAGGTCTCTGCTCTGCCTCTCCATTTCTGCTGTGGTTTTGCTCCAGCTCCTCCTCAGACAGGTGAATGTACTCAAAGCTGCAACCAAGGACTTGGATCTCAACCACAGCCTGCTGTGCTAAGGCTAAACCATGACAAAAAGCTGGGGGTTCGTAACTGGAAACAATTTCCACACAAGAAATCCACGTTGAGGCAAGGCAAGCCATCAGTCTTACACACCTTCATGTACAACATGGCTTTCCCATCTCTCTGGAGCAGGAAAATCCATTAAAATCTAACCAGAAGCTTTTTCCTAAATAGGTGGCCCCTTTTCTCCTTAACACTTGACAGCTGCACGACTGGAAAGGGATTCTAGCAGCAAACAATTACCTGGACTCATCTGGGTTTCCAAGTTTTCTAAAAAGGGGTTCTAGCAGCAAAAAATGACCTGGAGTCATCTGGGTTTCCAAGTTTTCTGGCTCAGAATTGTTTGGTTTCTTTAAAGGATAGTGTGGCACTTTGGGAGTTACTAATGCAGTATTTGTAAGTCACGTCTCAGTCACATTTTAAGATGTGGCCTCTTTTCAGCACCCCCACAGCTCAGGTGAGCAGGAGAGAGGTAAATTTACCTGCAGAGAGGGCACTGACTGAACATTCCATCAGGCCACTTTTGTTCATTCTCAGTGTTTTATCCTCAGCTGAACTCAGGCCCTTTTTTCTCCTCTGTCAAACCCAGTTATTGGAAACTTCATCCAGCTGATTTCCATGGCTGGTTTCCCCTTTGGGGCTGGTTCTGACACAAATTGACCTGATGGAAGCTTGGATCACTCCTACAGATCATGATGGGCAGGATGCGTGACACAAAGAAGGGGCAAACCCATCTGTACAAACCAAGAATTAAATGCCAACATCAGAGCGTGAGGGAAGACTAAAAGGTGTCACACATGGATCTAGTTCAGAGGAGATGGTGACACAGATTCTGCAGTCTGGGAGGCTCAAGGACATCCCTGAGCAGCACAGAGCTTCAGACACACATCTGGCTAAATCCCCTGGAGGCAGCAAGGTCAGGAGCACAGGAGAGGGGAATTCTCCACTAGGTCACAAAGGATTTGGTGCCTTAGGATGACAAAGTACACTGCAAGTTCAACCGAGGCACTTGTCACAAAAGCAGAGATTCAACAACTCAGCACTCTGCCTGAAATGTGTCCCCTCCTGTCCCTGCAGGCATCAAAGCAAGCTGGTGGCATGGGAACCAACCTCAAATTTAGATATTTGATGTATTTTTAAGCCACCTCTGCCAAAACACTTGTTGCTGCTTCCAATAATAAAATAGGAGCAGTGGCCTGAAGGAAAGCTCCAAGGAGTGCTGTACCCTCAAAACACAGACTGCACAGGGCTTTAGGTCCATCTCCTCACAGGGCTGGAACCTGGTGATGCTGAAGGTCCCTTCTAACCAAACAATTCTATTCTCAAATTCTGATTCTGTCATGCTGTAGAGAAATTTGGTTTTTTGCAGCAATCATTTCAGTCACTTTCTCCCTTTGTCCAGTCTCTCAGCTCTCCAGTAAAACACCACATTGTGATGGTTCTTTTTTGGGGCAATTCAAGGTGATTCCTCTTTCAGCTGATTGCTCCCAGCATCCCCCAGATGCCCAGAAAGATGAGAATTTACCTTTCATAGGGGAGCCCTGTGGGGTGGCTGGGACGTGCACCCCCATGCCAGGCCCCCGGCGGTAGGGGAAGTTCTCAGGGCTGTATTTCTCACACAGAACTTGCATGAAACTCCTTCCACTGGGCTGGTCCATGCTCCCTTCTTGGACTTCTGGTGAAAAAAGAGAAAAACAGAGCATATGAGCAGTCAGCAAGTTATAATCATTTCTAATGAAATGATTGAGAACAAGCAGATGGGTCACAGGTTTTATTTCTGAGCTCCAGATGATCTCACAGGTCCAATTTCAAATTCCAGATTAAAGTAAAACATTACTTGAAAAGAACACAAAGTCAGAAGATTTGGTGCTGTACAGACACACCATTACAGGCCAAGCCTCCTCACCCCACCTGCTCTTCCAGGACAATTCCAGGCTGCAAAAGGTGACTTGTCACTTGTCACTTGTGCCCTCCCACGAGGACTGTGAGAAATCCACAGCTTGTCAAACACAATTCCAGGGCAGCCAGGAGGGCAAGGAGCAAACAGCTCCAACACCTTTCCAGGAGGGGAAGGAGCAAGCAAACAGCTCCAACACCTTTCCAGGACAGCCAGGAACGGAAGGAGCAAACAGCTGTTTGTGAGCAGGAGATTGCTCCCACAGCTGTTTGCCAACTTCCCCTTTCTGCTGTGTCACCAAACACCGTCTGGCCAGGCCCAAAGGCAATTTCTGCCAATTCCATTCTGCAGCTGCCTAATGTATCTGGGAGATAATAAGTGTGCCCTTGGTATCTGGGCATGGCACAGAGCAGCACAGGAAGGAGGCCTGGCCCCATCACAGGCAGCTGAGCTGCCTGCAGAGATACTGAGAGTCAGCTGGGAGTGGTTTTGGCACCAGGACCCCCCCATGGCTGAGCTCTGCCCTGCCCAGGTGGGACTCAGCCCCTCTCTCTGCTCTGTTTTTCTGTGTATTTGACGGGTTTGTAACACAGGAGCAGAGATTGGCTCATGAATTGTTGTTCCCAGAGGTCTCCTAGGCCTGCAACCCATCACAGACGCAGCATCACAATCCTGAACGTGCAGGAACCAGTGCAGGTTTCCTACACTGCACAATTAGTCACAGGGAAGCTTTTCTACTAATTACTGCAAAATTACATTTGTAAACCTCAGACTGGGGCCACACATTCATTTTGCTAATCTTGAATTAAAGTTTTTGCCCATTTCTCTCCCTTAGACTTGTTACAGGCAAGGATATAAAGTTAGATATAAAATTCTAAACAAAAGTGATTTCATTAATGCTCCCTTTGCTAAGAACCACCTGCTTGACAAGTTCCACTTCACTTCTTCATGACCAGACTACCTTGCATGAAACTCCTTCCACCAACCAAAAGCATTTCACCAACCAAAAGGATTTCAGTACAATAAGCAGCAATTGACTGAAGCATGTCATCATTTTTATATTCTATATCAAGTTTAAATGTCACAAATAGGAACTTACAGGATTAGTCTTAAAAAAAAGCCAAAACCCACAATTTTCATCTCTCAACAGCTTGGTTGATTCATAACTCAAACTTGACTCATGTCACCACTCTATCTAGAATCAAAAATAAATCCTCAGACTGGAGTTTGATAGGAACAAGGCATTTAGTCTTGAGCTAAACCATTCCACATGGTACAGGAACAATGTTTAAGTTTGTTCCAGAGTGGTTTGGGAGCTCAGCACCATCCACAGACAGACAGACAGACAGACAGAGCTTTCCAAACACCCATTCACACCTCCTGGCTGGAAATTCTGGAACTCCCATGTGCATAAAGCCCTCTGTCCTCCACGTGGCTTTTCCATCCCTCTTTATCTGCTGAACAAACATCAGCTGGAAATTCCACAGGAGAAACTCACCTTAGAGGCAAAAAATGCTGTTTGCAGCTCCAGTGTGAGAGCAATCCAGAACTGAGAAGAAAAACTACTGACATTTACATCCAGCAGCTTTGAACCCCCAACATTTTCTTCCTCAAGCTCCACTTTTGAACACCAGTGAGATGACAAAAATGTTGTGGGGCGTGCAGTCACCTTCCCAGCTCCCCTCCCATGGGATTCCTGTAATCATCTCTCACTCCTGTGGCTTCTCTGAATCCCCACAATTGCCTGGGAGCCAAGAGCAGCAGGATGTGCAGAGGGAATGACAGGTTCCAAGGGAATGCTGGCAGCTCCAGGCCAGCACAGGGTGACCTGAAAGTTGTGCACGTTTTGTGAGCGTGGCCCTGCTGACAGCACCAGGGACAATTCAGGGCTCAAAATAACTCCGGGTTTTCTAAATGACAGCACAGAGCGCAAATGAGGCACTTGGGCTTTGAGAGGTGGCAACAAAGAGCCTTTGTTGTTGTGCTGAAGTGCTCTGCTGCAGTGAGGAAGGACAGAAAATCCCAGGATTCTGAACCCCAGAATCCCAGGTTTGGGTTGGAAGGGACCTTAAAAATCATCTCATTCCCCCATTCCAACACCTTCCACCATCCCAGGGTGCTCCAAGCCCCATCCAGCCTGGCCTTGGACACTCCCAGGGATCCAGGGGCAGCCACAGCTTCTCTGGACACAAGTGCCAGGGCCTGCCCACCCTCACAAGGAGGGATTTCACCCCAATATCCAGCCCAAAGTCACTCTCTGACACTTTGAAGCCACTCCCCCCTGTCCTGTCACTCCAGGCCATTGGGAAGTTCCTCTCCATCTGTCTCACTGCAAGCACTGGGAAGTCACAATGAGGTCACCCCAAAGCTTCTCCTCTCCAGGTAAACAACCCCAAATCTCCCAGCCTTTATTCCCTCTGATCCCCTGGACTCTCCCCAGCAGCTCCACATCCTTCCCCTGCTGGGATTCCCAACTGGGAGCAGCACTGGGAAGGGTCTGGAAAGAGGAGCACGACCCTGACTTGAGATTGATCCCAGGGAAACCCAGAGTGCTGCTGATGGGTGAAGGGAGAACACTGAAACCAGCCTGGAAAACATTTCCAGCTGAGGGGTGAAAGGAGAACACTGAAACCAGCCTGGAAAACATTTCCAGCTGATGGGTGAAAGGAGAACACTGAAACCAGCATGGAAAATACTTCCAGCTGATGAGTGAAGAGAAAACACAGAAAACAGCATGGAAAACATTTCCAGCTGATGGATTAAAGAAGAACACTGAACATTTCCAGCTGATGGAAATGTTTTTTGTCCCACAGCTGCTTGCCCAGGGTTAAACAGGCCATGGGAACTGGGAGAACTGGGATCAGCTCATCCTTCCTCCTGCCTGGCTGTGCAGGGGATGCCAACAGTGATCCCTCACAGCCCACTAACCTGTGTGAGGTGACAGAGCCACCAAATCCCAGTTATTTTCATATTTTTAGAGCTGAACCTGATTAAATTTAGCAAGCAAAAGATCCTCAATATCTGAAAATAATCCCATCCCAAGGCTTCCCTGTAATGCACCACAAATTAATGTCACCCACAAATGTCACTGAAACCAGCATGGAAAACATTTCCAGCTGATGGGTGAAAGGAAAACACTGAAAACAACATGGAAAACATTTCCAGCTGATGGGTGAATGTAGAACAATGAAACCAGCATGGAAAACACTTCCAGCTGATGGGTGAAGAGAAAACATTGAACATTTCCAGCTGATGGGTGAAAACACTGAAACCAGCATGGAAAACATTTCCAAGGTATGGGTGAAAACACTGAAACCAGCATGGAAAACATTTCCAGCTGAGGGGTGAAAAGAAAACACTGAAATCAGCATGGAAAACATTTCCATCCCCTGTGCCCTGAGCCCTCCAGGAGAAGCAGAGACCCTTCAGGAGAATGACACCATTAATGGCATGCTAATGACATTCCAGTGCCACTCCAACGCCTTGGGGGCACGTCCTGAACAGTCACCCAGCAAACACACCCCAAACAAAGCCTCAGGAAGGGATAAACGGCACAAACATCCATCTGAAGGAGCTGCAATCCTTCTCCCAGACATGATTCAGGGAAGTTGTTTTGGAGGTGATCTCCAGAGGCAGAGCAGTGAGGCACAGGATGGTTTGGGTGGAAGGGACCTTAAGGATGGCGCAGTTCCGCCCTGTGTGCCCTGGGCAGGGAGATCCCAGCAGGATTCCCCAGGGACTGGAGCAGGAGCCACCAGGACAAGGCACCCAAAGCCACTCTGCCAGCGCCCCGTGGAACCCAGCAGGGCTGTGTGCTGCCAGCACTGTGCAGAGAGCACACAGGGGACACCAGGACTGTCCCTTGTCCTGCTGCTGGCCTGGCTGTGCCCCTGTCACAGCACAGCAGTGACATTCCCTGTGGGACATCCCTGGCCCTGCTGTGGGGCCTGGGGCAGGACGAGCCCGGAGGTGTCCCCTGCCAGCTTGGGACCCCCAAGGCCTCTCCTTGTCCCTCACATGGCCTGTCCCTGTCCCTGTCCCTGTATTGTACTCAAACCCTGTCCCTGCCACAGTCCCCAACCCTCACATAGACTGTCCCTGTCACTGTCACTGTCCCCATCCCTTACATGGCCTGTCCCTGTCACTGTAGTGTACTCAAACCCTGTCCCTGCCTCTGTCACGGTCCCTGTCCCCATCCCTCACACAGACTGTCCCTGTCCCCAACCCTCACACAGCCTGTCACTGTCCCCTCACAGGGCCTGCCCCTGTCCCCAAACCTCACACAGCCTGTCACTGTCCCTGTCACTATCCCTAACCCTCACATGGCCTGTCCCTGTCACTGTCCCTGTCGCCAACCTTCACACAGCCTGTCCCTGTCCCCCTCGCTGTCCCTCTCCCTGTCGCTATCCCCATCCCTTACACGGCCTGTCCCCGTCCCTGTCACTGTCCCCGTTCCTGTCGCTGTCCCCTCACACGGCCTGGTGCATTCCCCAGCTCACAGCGGCCCCGCTCTCCCGCACCGCGCGGCGGTCGGGGCCGGGCCCGGTGCGTTCCGTGGCGCTCCGGGCGGTGCCGGGGGTGCCCCGGTGTGCCCTGTCCCGTGTCCCGTCCCCGCTGTCCCCCCGTCCCCGGCCCCGCTCACCCAGGCCCGGCCGCCGCGTCCCGCATCGACCCGGAAGCAGCTCCAAACATCACGTGACGGCGCGCGGTCACGTGGCGGGGCGCGCCCCCCGTTGCCGTGGAGACGGAGACGCCGATGACGTCATCCTTGTCCCCAAGGAGGGTTCCCTTGGGACGAGACGGGAAAAGCGATGGCAGCGACACAGGGAGGGGATCCCGACCCTCTGCTGGGCCCCAGAGGCGCCTCGGGAGCACTGGGGACAGCCCTGGGCTCCTCTGCACGGCGGGGACAGCGACAGCCCAGAGCGGGGCAGGGAGGGTGACAGAAATGGAGGGACGGGAGTACCTCCATGACAGGGAATTGGGGCTGGGAAGGGGCTCAGAAGGGGCTCAGAAGGGACCTCACCTCTGTCTGGAGAGGAGAGCTCTGAGCAGGCCCCAGGCTCTGCTCCAGCGGCGCAGCAATGGCACCAGGGGGATGAGCAGGGACTGAGCCCAGAAAGCTCCACCTGGACAGGAGGAAGAACTTTGTCATTCAGGGACCAAGGGACCCTCACTGGAGAGATTCCCAAACCTCCTAGACACAGCCCTGTGCCTTGGCATGACCCTGCTGGAGCAGGAGGACCGGGTGACCCCCTGAGGTCCTTGCCCTGGCCCAGTCTGTGATTCTGTGGTGCCACACAGAGCTGGTGCCACGATCCCTGCAGGGCCAGGGCCAGCTCTGGGCACAGGAGTTCCCTCAGGGTGGCACACCCTTGCCCCCAGGGTCCTGCTGGAGCCAGATACACAAAATTACCTAAAACCTGCCAACAGATACATAAAATTACCTAAAACCAGATACATAAAATTACCTAAAACCTGCCAAGCCACAACCACATAAAATCACCTAAAACCTGCCCATCCATACCCACATAAAATTACCTAAAACCTGCCAATCCATACCCACATGAAATCACCTCAAACCTGCCAAGCCATACCCACTGCTCATTCAGGATGTAAATCCAGCAGCCCTGGCTGTGTTGGTCCTGCAGCAGCTGCACCCTTTGCTGGCAGTGCCCCCCTGCTCCTTACCAGCTCACCCCAGCTCCAAAGTGAAAAGCTGTAATAGGCTTAGTCATAGAATCTAATGAGCTAATCAGAGGTGCCCAAACCTATTAGCAGCAGGAAAACACAGCTGCACTGTCTGCCATGCCCTCTCCTCTCCTCGCATTTTCTTCAGGACCATGATGGAGCAAACCTTGCCTGATGCCAGAATTATGACAAACTCCCATCACTGCTGCACATCCTGTGGCAAATTCACCCCTGTGAGAGGCTCAGGGCTGCCCAGGTGTCCCAGTTCACATCACACAGATCATTTCCCAGCCCACAGCACACACAGCATCTCCAGCACCAGCTCTGCTGAGGCCACCCTGCCAGCCCCACTCTTGTCAGGGAAGATGAAACAGGAAAGCCTTATCAATATGATTGTCTGGCAAAAGATTTTGAGAATTTGGAAACTATAAGCGAGATTGAAATGAAAGCAAGCTTTGAGATAGCTCAGTTACTGAACAACTGGAAAACAATGGTGTGGCCACTGAAGGTGATCCCCTTTTGATGGAACAACACCCTCTGCTTGCAGACAGGCCCAAGGGTCAGAGCAGACCCTACAGCTTGGCAGAAGGGCCCAAAGAGGAGTTTTTGGGGTTTAAAATGGAACACAGGATGGTAATATAACGTGGTTTAACTCTCCTTACAAGGTTAAATATGAAGTCTGTACACAAACAAATTAGAGATCATGGCAAGCAAGTGGATGAAGGGGACACAGGCTCTGGGGCTCTGAGCAGGCTGCAGGCCTGGTCTTGCTTTCCAAGGCTTGGTAAGGAAAGAGCTTGTTTGAAATGTAACACAGGATGGTAATGTAATGATTCTTGTAGACTGTATGTAAATGCTATAGGATTTGTATCTTGGACTAGATTGGTTAGTGAGAAACAGAATATTCAGCATAGAAGAAGATTTATTGTATTGTAATGGGAATCTCACTCTCTTACCCTCTCATCCTCTCTCCCCCTCTCTTCTCTCGGGCCTGCTCTGAGCTGTGGCTGGCAGCTCCCAGCAGGGCCCTGCACTTGGCCCTTTGCAATAAACCCCAAGTTCCAAGACCAGAAGAAGATTTATTGCATTGTAATGGGAACCTCACCCTCTGATCCTCTCTTTTACTCTCTCATTCTCTCTTTGCCACGCTCTTTATCTCTCTCTCTCCCTCTTTGGGGCCTGCTCTGGGAGAGAGCAGCAGCTCCCAGCAGGGCCCTGCACTTGGCCCTTTGCAATAAACCCCAGATACCAGAGCAGGCTGCAGAGATCTCTCGTCTCCATCCATCCCCACCATTCTACC